CTCGGCTCGAGCTTTTTTTCCCGGCTCGGGCTCGGCTCGGCTCGGTTCGTTTACATCGCTAGATGGCATAAAGGCTTGAATTAAGAAGAAATGTTAAATATTTTCTCGCTTTTATGAACTATGAATTTCTGAACAAAAAATTCCAAAGGAATTCAAGAACTTGCGTTACTTCTATGGCATTTTTTATTTGTAGCCAAATTTGAGGGGTGGATTTGAAATGCGGTCAATTTAGGAAGACTTTGAGAAAATACTTGTTTTTGAAGTGCAATTACGGAAAAATCCCTTCTGTGAAAGTGATCAGTTTTTGTGTGGGGTCAAGATTTTCTAGTGAAGCTGGTGCGTAAATATGGAACGTAAAGCAATAGCTTATTAGAGGATCTGTAAATTGTAAGTGCAACATGGCTTTAACCAATGGGTAATAAATACTATAGCCAAAAAAAAAAAAAAGAGGGTCATTTTTAATATCCATGTTTTCATGCATTTTCTAATTTTTGGCGCAACAATTGTCAAAAAGATTAGGGATGGCATCGACAATTCACATCCTCCATTCCATCGAATATTTTGTCACCTTATCCCACCCTCATACCCGATTAAGGCAAGAAGAGGCGAGTTCGGGGAGGGGCATGTCCCTTGTCCCGTTTATTATTTTCTTATTTATTTTATTTTTTTGTCTTTAGTTAGTGAAAATTATTACTTTTTTTTCCAATTTGTTAAAACAACTCATGTTCTCTTTAAGATAATAATAATTTTTGTTTGATAAAAAATTTAAATTTCAAACGGGGAGGGGACTATACTTTTCATATCTGCTTCAAGGCAACAGATCATGCTCCACTTCTGCCCCATTTACCAGATTAGGCTATTAATTCAAGTCTCATTCAGGGCGAGACTGTTGGTATCGAGTTTAACGAATTTTGTTGTCATTCCTAGAAAAGATATAGCGTGAATATGTTAAAATGAGAATGGGTGGTTCGATATTATGGTTGAACTTTGAATCTGAAACGTCGAATTTCTAATGGAACGAATAAAATGAAATTAAAGAACAAGGTGTTTTACTTCGATGGGTGAAATAATTTTTTTCAATATGATTGGTTACATAAGAGCTCTGTAATATGGTTACATAAGAGCCCTGTAATATTATTGCAAAAAGCAGAACATACGACCTTACTTCCAAATTTATAAAAATGACCGAAGAAGATACTTTGAGTGTCATAAATTAAGAGTACTGTGAAGAATCATCACTAATTTTCTAGATCTTTCCTTCTGCCACAAATTAGAGAAACCTAGAAGAATCCATACATGACCATTATTCTAGAGTCCAT